AAGCCACTCCAACCACCTATGGACCGAGGAACTCCAAGCACCTAGCGACCGAGCCACTGCACGCACCAACCCGCCAAGCCACTCCAAGCACCTACCCATCGAGCCACACCAAGCACCTACCCATCGAGCCACTCCAACCACCTACCCACCTAGCCACTCCAAGCACCTCCCCACCGAGTCACTACAAGCACCTACCCACAGAGCCACTCCAAGCACCTTCCCACCAACCACTCCAAGCACCTTCCCACCAGCCACTCCAAACACCTACCGATCAAGCCACTCCAGGCACCTACCGACCAAGCGACTCCCAGAAGCTCTACCCACCGAGCCACTCCAAGCACCTACTGACCGACCCACTTCAAACACCGTCCAACCGAGTCACTCCACACACCTACCAATAGAGCCACTCCAAGCACCTACCCGTCGAGCCACTCCAAACACCTACCGGCCGAACCACTCCAAGCACCTACCGACCTTGCGACTCCAAGCAACTTTACCGGTCGAGCCACTCCAAGCAGCTATACCGCCCGAGCCACTCCAAGCACCTATACCGACCGAGCCACTCCAGGCACCCACCGACCAAGCCACTCCAAGAACCTCTACCCGCCGAGGTACTCCAATCACCTACCATCCGAGGCACTCCAAGCATATAACCACCGAGCCACTCAAAGGACGTACACACCGAGCCCCTCCAAGCACCTACCTACTAATGGAGCCACTCCTAGCACCAACCGACCCTGCTACTCTAGGCACCTATACCACCCAAGCCACTCCAAACACCAATACCGACTAAGCTTCTCCAAGCACCTATACCGACCGAACCACTTCAAGCACCTATATCGGTGGGTAGGTGCTTAGAGTGCCGTGGTTGGTAGAAGGCGTGATGCGTCATAGCGCAAAGATCAGGTCGTCGTGAAAGTGCATCTGCTGCGCAATTGGAGAGGCCGTCAACGTGTTTCGGTGTGAAGTCGAACTGGTCGATGAAGTACATCCACCGTCCAATCGTGCTGCTCACCGTGTCCTGCGTCTTGTAGTAGGTCAATGGGTTATTGTCCGTGACCCATGTGAACCTACGACGTCCAAGAAGGAAGTGCTGCCATCGCTTGAGAGCCATGACGAACGCAAGCAGCTCCTTCTTCCTTGCATCATCCAGAGAATTGATGGGAGGCACTTTGTGGCTGAAATACTCCACAGKGTGCCAATCCTCGCCGTCGTGCTGCTCCAAGACTGCCCCAATGCCGTAACCGGAAGCGTCARTYGTCACTCTCGTAGGCAGARTGGGGTCGTAGATGCTAAGGACGGGTGCCATGAGCATGGCCATCTTGAGTGCTTGGAAAGCCTGGCGCGCGTCGTCATCGAATACGAATGGCACCTTTGGCGATTGTAGTCTCGTCA